ATATATATATATATATATATATATATATATATATATATATATATTTTTTTTTAGGGGATTTAACCTTTATTGCTAGGACGGTGGAGATTTACAGACAGGAAAGCATGGGGAGCTGAGAGAGGGGAAAGAACGGCAAAGGACCTCGAGCGAGGAATTAAACTCCGGTCGCCGCATGCACCTGGGTGCTATATGTTGACACACTAACCAATAGGCTATTGACGCTGACTCCCTCAATTCATTCTTTTTTAGAGTGATTCAGTCTTACCATTCACACAGGGCTTTAGTGTCAAAGCTTGACTTAGGGTGTCTGAAGTTGGGGGTGATGTGATGGTCATAGCAATGTAAGTCAATGAAATTAGTCCTCAAAAAGTTCAGAATATCTCAATTTGTGCAGATGAAGATGAATTTTTAATAATGGTAATTATTACGCTACATGACTCAAAACTACTGGTCATGAGGGACTGCAAAATTTCAGTTGATGTTCAGTTTTTATTTCAGTGAAGAGTAAATTAAGCACCCCCATTTTTTTTCAGTGCAACATTCCAGAAGATTTTTAGCTGAAACCATGGTCTAAGGAGAACCACAAAATGCAAGGCAACAGCTATTGCAAATTTAAAAATCCAGCATGAATTCATAGGCTAAACAATAATGAATAACCGTTGCTCCTGACATTGCATTGAGGTCTTAATTTCAGAAAAGATTTTAAAGTGTTTCCATTTGTCTATAAATCACTAAGTGGCCTAGAACCCCAATATATTACAGATATGCTCACTGAATTAAAACCATGTCACTCAGAACATTAAGATCAAGTAAATTTGAAATTCCAACAGGTCAGTCAAAGCAGAGTGAATCCACCTTCAGCTTCTGAATTGCACCCCCCACTGCTGGAATCAGCTTCCTGAAATGATCAGATGTGCTCCAACATTAGGCATATTCAAATCAAGACTAAAAAAACATCTGTTTTTTCTCTCCCGTTACTGAATGAGCACTGTGCTATGTCTGACAATTCACTCTATTATATTATTGTGTTCTTTTATTCTTGTTTATGTAAAGCACTTTGAATTACCATTGTGGATGAAATGTGCTATATAAATTAACTTGGCTTATATCTATATCTATATATATATCTATATATATTTGATATATATATATATATATATATATATATATATATATATATATATATATATATATACATTTGATATATATTTATATATATTTGATAGTCTACAGAACAACCATCGTTATACAATAAATTGCCTAATTATACTTACCTGCCTGATTAACCTAATTAACCTAATTAAGCCTTTAAATGCCACTTTAAGCTGTATAGAAGTGTCTTGAAAAATATCTAGTGTCATCATGGCAAAGATAAAATAAATCAGTTATTAGAAATGAGTTATTAAAACTATTATGTTTAGAGATGTGTTGAAAAATATCTCTCTGTTGAACAGAAATTGGGGGGGGGAAGGGGGCCTATAATTCTGATTTCAACTGTATATATATATATATATATATATATATATATATATATATATATATATATATATATATATATATATATATATATATATATATATATATATATATATATATATATA